CAGTGAGGGGCCCAAAACTGGACACAGTACTCGAGGTGCGGCCTCACCAGTGCTGAATATAGGGGAACAATCACCTCTCTGCTCCTGCTTGCAACGCTGTTTCTGATGCAAGCCAGGATGCCATTGGCCTTCTTGGCCACCTGGGCACACTGTCGGCTCATGTTCAGCCGAGCATCAATCAATACCCCCAGGTCCATTTCCTCTACACAGTCCTCCAGCCACACCGCCCCAAGCCAATTTAAATTTATTTATTTATTTAATTTAAAAATAAATTGTTATTTCGTTATTATTTTTTAAGAGCTTTTTTACAGTGGAAAACTAACAGGACAGTCTCCACAACTCATTAAACCAAATTGTTTCTTGCGGTTGAAAACCAAATTAAGCCAGCAAATTTACATTAGTAATATGCTTACTTATGTAGCTATTACTCCCTACAGAGACTTACAAAAATGTGTAACAGATTCTCTACATTTGAACATTCAAGTAAGGAATACATAGAAACATTTACAGATGTAGACATACATGGCTATACACATGTATACTACATTACTTGCATACAAAAAAGGCAAAAAAACCCTAGCTTTTGTGTTCTGCATTTATGTAGAACAGATGTGATGATGTTTCTAGCCTTGCAGATGACTACAGGCAGTGCAAAATGAAATGGTGCAGTCTGATGCAACAACATATGAAATGATGAGATAATGAATGAGGAATTTTTCAGAATTTAAAACAAATACTTGACCTCAGAAACAACATACTGGAAAAAAAATGGTAATATTTAACTAAAACCTGGATATAAAAAAAAACAGAAATACCAGATTTAAATACAACACTAATTAGTTTCATCATTTGGTATTAAGTATACCAGTCAAGAATGAATGCCACACTGCACACACTGCCACTGGTGAGTTCTCTTTGCTGGGTAATCATTTTCTTTTAAGAAAAGTGATGATACAGTCAGGGAGCAAACAATACCTGAACTCTAATCATAAGCCTGATTTGAGTCAAAATTCAGCTTTGAAAAACTTTTTCAGCTTTTGATTTATCTCTTTATATTTGAAAGTTCAGGAACCAAACATGACAGAATCACAATATGTCAGGGATTGGAAGAGACCTTGGTAGATGATCTAGTCCAATGCCCCTGTCAGAACAGTAACACCTAGATTAGTCAACGAGTCCAGGTGGGTTTTGAATGCCTCCAGAGAAGGAGATTGCACAGCCCATCTGGGCAGCCTGTTCCAAGTGCTCTGTCACCTTGAAGAAGTTTAACATTTAAGCTGGATCTTTAGAACATCAACTAGATATGTTAGAACATCAACTAGACTGAGGCATCACCTCAAGCTTTCATCTTGAAAAAATTATTTCCAGACATGTTAAATCACGCTACAAGGACAATCTACATGGTTTTGAATGACACACAAGACTTGAATTGGTTTGAAAAGGTCACACGTTGTTAAAAGTCTAAACTCTTTAAAACTATATTCTAATATATAAGGCACAAAGAACACAGAAAAACTGTCTGCTGAGAACATAAATCAACAGTGCTTTCAGAGTTCAACGTTTTTCCTAAACTTTTAATAAGCTATTTTTCTTGTGAGAAAAGATTGTAATATTCATTATCAATATTACAACCATCAGCTGAGAGGAAAAAGGTAAATAAAACTTCTGATGAAAGTTTATCGTATCATATTGATTAATTCATCTCCACCAACCATGAAAAGATTACAAGTGCTACTTTTTAAATTTTTTTTAATTTTTAATTTTTATTTTTAATAAAATACACTATACTATTAGCCCTAGAGTCCAACTCTAGTTATCTTCTTGGTAAGTATATAGAGGGTAGAGTGAGATTACAGAACTCAACCAGAAAAAAAACAACTATATTTAACCTGTTAGGTTAAACACAGGTCACAGTAAGTACAAGTTTTACACGATCTGTAGATGTGTCTTACCTAGTCTTGCCTGAAAACTTGAAAGAAAGGAGAAGTTACTGACAGATTACCAATTTCATTAATGATTTCAGTCTCTAATTACTAATTCTTTACATTATCTGTGGTTTTAGTGGCCCTGACAACTTCTCTCTGTTCTCATAACTTAGGCATTTTGAAGGTTAGGTCAATTACCAGACCACTTGAGGAATTTAAGGAATTTGTTTCCTTATTCTTCACTTTCCTTACATCCTTCTGGATACCTGATAAAATATTCTTCCATACAGATATAAAGAGAAGCAAAGCTAGGGACCAGGCTTTCTCTAAAACTCCCACTAGTAGTTTCCCCTCTCATAAACTAAAAAACTGTGAGAATTTTAAAATAAGAAAGACGAGGAATGCATACTTTTCTGAACAAATATTTTTGTATCATGTAGGAAAAACACCTGATGGAATGAGTAAATACTATCGAAAGTAGATATTTCCCTATCATCAATGAAATCAAGACGCGAGGTTGTTTTGTTACTGACTGCTGTCTCAAACAGCTTGAAGTATGTCCACAATGTAAAAAAAAAAAAATGATGCTGGTAATTTAAAAAAGAAAAAAAAAGGGGAGGAAGCTTTGACTTATATCTACTTGACTCAAATTGTCAATCGATAAACGTGTTAACTTCAGTGTGAACTTTGGTTCACAAGAACTGCCAAAAATTAAGGTTACAGAGCATGTATGTCTTTATGACCAATCACCCTAAGCCTCAGAGTGCTCTCCACAGAAAATTCTTGTCTACAAGATTAAAGCAGATCCCCCTCTCCAGGAAGATTAAGCACAACCTTGTATCTTTTTCCAGTCCACAAAATCTGTCCAAAGCACTATGACAGAACTCTAAGTACATAAAGGAGGTGACAAAGTTTTCCTGAAACAAAAAAAAAAATCCTTATTACATGGGTCCTTTCCAAACTCATAAAATAGTACCTATTGAATTCAGATGATTTATTAATTATTTGCAGGAATTTCATCTAAATACTGTAACTGGTATGTCTGTCAGAGCAGAAATACAAGAAATGCTGACCAAGATTTTGACAAAAAAAACTGCATTATGTATAGTAGTTTTGCATGTAGCACTATTTTCCTCAAAGTTTCCTTGCTTTTGCAGGTTGACTATACTTTTTTCTCAGTAAAGAAACTCTGAACATATATACATACACATATCTTTATGTAGGCATAACTTCATATAAATTGAATTAATGGTATACTCTGCGTTTTAAATATTTAAATATATGTAACTATATGTACATATACATATAGTAATTAGAGCTGCTACAGCTACACTAGAGACTAGTGGCAACTAGATTTAGAATAAACAAACAAAAAAAGCTTACCATTTTTATTCTCATAATCTAACTGGCATCACATAAATCTTTTGAATAAGAAGCTATAGCCTGCTTAATGCTTCCCATGGATAACTTCATTTTCTCTGTAGCTCTAAATGTGCTTCAGTATTTATTTTGAAAAGCAGGTTACTCTTTTAAATACAAAAATGACGAAACCCTTCTAATTAGAAGCCTAGATTTCTCGGTACCCAATGACACCCTGCACACTGTGTTTCCAGGAAAGAGGCCAGAGATAGTGAAAATTTTCTTGCACATTACAGATGATACAATTAAGAAAAAAAAACAAAAAACACAAGTATAGAAAGACTGCTATATGTTTCTTTCTTTGATTTTTTTCTACTTCTAAAAGAAACAGTATATGTGCAGACAACACAAGAACATCTGGACACAATAATGGAAGCAAGCTGCCAATTCTTACCAGTAATTTTCATTAGAAGAGGGTTCATTACATCCAAAGAGCAACATGTGATGGACAGTGTCCATGCTAGCGTGAGGTTTAAAGTCAACTGAAAAACAAAATGATAAAATAAGTAAGTTACCCTTACTCTCACTGCAATTTACACAAAAAAGAGCACTTTGAGTTAACAGCTCTCTGTAATACCGGAAACAAAGTACGTATCCCCCCGACCATTTATTTACCTTTTTCACTCCACTTACAAGCTTTTGCTTAAGTTCATTCAACAGCCTTTCACCCAAGTAGTTACTGTATCTCATTTAGTGATTGAAATAAAAAATTTCAAGTTTCCACTCAAAACCTTTCTATTTTCCCCAATAGTTCAATAAAACACTTAGTAGACATGCCAATATACCCCAAATCACAGTTTTTGTAGTAACCAGTCATATGTAAATTTAGTTTCAAAATTTACACTTGTAATTTAGCAGTATTTTTTAAAGTTCTTTTTAGCTTTTTCATCAAAATACAAACATGAAGTTAGAGTTAAGAGCAACTATTATCTTGCACACTGGTTGAAATCATGTGTTTTCTCAGCATTTCATTTGATTTACACTTTTGCTGCATTCTTCTGGGGACTATAGTTCAAGAAGAGAACCATGATTTATTCTTACTGACGTTGACAAACCCTCTGGAATGGAAAATAATACTCCCTAAAAGACAACAGAATCCTGTTGCCAAAATACTTCTCATTGTTAGAAAATTGGAAAACAGTGACATTCAGTACTCAAATGTCTGTTTGTCATTAAGTACCAGAAAGCCATAATTTTCATTTCTCAAATATTCAAGATCCTGTTCAATACTGAAAAAAAGTTACCAGTATCACAGTGTAGTAATACTGATCATAAACTTACAATGACAGAATTTCTAAAAATAAAACAAGCTGAATTGTGTAACTTCCTCTGTTATTACAGAAATGCTGCACCAGATGCAAGCAATATAAAGGAATTTTTCTTAATATGTGACAGAGGAATGGGCTGGAGCATTTTTAACCCTATTCAACAGCAGAACATCCAAAAAATGAGTCACTCCTGACATTAGACATAGACATTTAGGAGTCTCCAAGTTTCCAAGGATCTTCGTATGGTCAGACAATGAAGCTGTACACCACATAAGCCACTTCTGCTTCATAAATTTGCAAGTTTATCAGCTGACACAGAGCTTCTGAGGTGAACAATGATGTGGATTATTGTCCCAATTCTACAGAAGGAAAAAAAAATCCAAACAGACAGCTTTCAACCCTACTTTTTGGAGCTTAGGTTTGTAGTGAATAGTGAAGTAGTATTGCCAGAAGACAAGGCACAGAATTCAAAAGCTAGCTATCTTGAATATAAACCATGCAGCCAGGATGGGTTGTTAAGAAACAAGCATGATAGAGTTGATGGTCAGGTTTGAAAAATAAGGGGTGTCTCCACATGTTGAGGGAAGAGAGGAAGTTAAGAGTACCACATATTCTTAAGAATGAATTTACAGAATCATTCCAGCAGCTTGAAAGGTTAGAGTTCAAAGACTGTACATAGCCATCTTTTTACTAGAAAATTTTACTCAGTCCTTAGCCATAAAGTTGATCTGCATTAGAGAAAGACCTTTTGTTTTGATGTTTTTGTCATTAACAAAGTGAAACTATGATTAACTCATGCATGGGATGGATAACGTCATACTATGCAGACTAAATTTTCCAAGTGTTTATGCTGCTGTTGCCAACATCTGTGAGAGGACATTTCTAAATAGTTCATAAGCAGCTAGAACAATTTTTCTTGCACAACTCAATACTTGTACAAAATGTACTATAGGCAACACTTAGAAAGACAGCCTTCAATAGACAAATTCAACCACAGGGCCTCTCAACTGCAAATCTCTGCAGCCATTACAAATGTCACTGTTTCTCTTTAATTCCATGCCAGCCTCTCATCTTTTTAATTACTGTCCAAACATCCATTATTTCTGCATAATGTCTACTGCAGTGACATTCCAGTGTACGGCTAGGACTTTTAAGCACTGTTATAAAATGTACTTCAAACAGCTTAACAAGTAGTACTAGTACAGACAGAATATAATTAGCAAAGCAAAATCACATCTGTGTTTGAACCACTCACATGCACTAGTTTAGCTCATATCTCATCACTGCTTCTGAAAGAAAGAGCTGAAAGGCATCTCAGTCTGTTTGTGAGCTGAAGAAAGTTCTGCAGTCAGTTAACCTTTCCTATGTAGATATCTTCTTAGCAACACTGACAAGCAAACACTATTACAAACACTGTTTTCAAAAAAAGGGGTTTTTTTTTAAAAAAAAAAGCAATTTAAAAATGATGTAAGTTATAAAAGTCATGCAAACCAGCATGAGATTCAAGCCAAATACAATACCTGTTACTACCAAAGCCTTAAGAAATATCAAACCAAAGCTTCTAGTTATTCTTCTAGTTGACAGCCACTACATTTTAAAATAAGAAGCATAACAAAATTCAATATTTAAATGACTGTGATGACTTGCAGAAGGTGGTTTTGGCCTAACAGAATATCAGCACCTGCCTTGACTGTTTTTACACAAGATAAACAAAAACAAAACAATTTTATCATCTCAAATTAGAAAACTAATAGGCATACCACGAGTGCTATTTACATACTGTAATACCTGATTGGAATTCTTTCTGTTCATTTCCTGTTCACTGTTGCAAATTCACTCAAGATTGAGACTTTTCTTACAAAAGCCCTCAGAATGAAGTAGGTATTCAACATTTTTTAATAAAAGAACTTCTAGAAAGATATAGTTTATTGTTCTTTTTTTAACAAATGATTTACATGTACTTCATTTGTTAATCTTATTCTACATAATACAAAATACTCAGTTTGGAAAAAAACCCCACAAGAGTATAGTTTGAAAAGGAAAATCCTATTGCTACTTCCAATTTAGTTTCTTTTAGGTATAGCTGTTACATAAATTGGCACTTCTATAATTATTTTTTTTATTTTTAATGCATAGATAAGCACTACAGAGTGATTACTGAAATAAGTTTCATTACATAAAGTAAATGTGAATTCAGTCTGAATCTGCAAGTACTACTTTGAGCAACAAACTTTAGAAGGAACAGAAAAGAACAAACAGGACAGTAATCAAAGCATAGTAAAGGTGTATGCTTAAAAAGTTGATTTCTTGGATGTTCATCTTTAGGAGTGAAAACTCAATAATTGTTGTTATCCTTAAAAAAAATAATTTTTTTCAGTATAATTTAATTCATACACAAGAGTATCACGAGTGTTCACAGTTTGGTAGATTAGATATTAGAGGTCTTTAATATAGCACAGGCATTATCACTTTTTAATAGGGAAATTTATATACACCATACCAGAGAAACAACCTTGCAGCACGCAAGGAAGAAAAATAATAAGTTCTACAAAAGGCCTCTAGAGCAAAACTTGCTCTATATCTACTTGTAATTTGTTAACACTCCTTAAATTTGCTCAGTTTCTTCTTTTGTTACTGCCCAAGAACGGACCCTCAACTAATTGGTAGGCTCTGGTACAGCACCCTCCCAGCTTTGCAGTATGAAGTTATACCCCTTGCTCCTGTGCTAGTTTAACAGTCTGCTAGTTTCAAATCTTCAGGAAATAACAAAGCTGAAATCAGAATTCTAAGTCCTCAAATATAAATTTGATAGGAAATACTGGAAAGTTATGGACAATATTTTCTACTTACTAATGCGTGCAGTACAACCTACATGCAATGCTAAAAAAAAACACCAAAACAAGTCGTATTTCATCAAAACTGCCCTGCTGCATGTTCTATTAACAGACAGAACTTGTTCTTCCAGGCCCTCCTGAAGAACAGACTAAACGGAGGCAAACAGGAAAATAAAGGAAAAAACAGAAGTGAGAAAATTTAGTTGGCAGTATTATGTAAATAAATTGAACTGGGGGCAGGAACATAGGTTCTGGTCTCAGATTTACCACTGAACTATATCAGCAACTCAGTTTTATGTTTTCATTCTGTGTATCATTCACATGTATGTGCCTTTTGAAGTTCCAGAGAACACACACTATCTTTTCCATATCTCGGTGAATGGCAAGTCAGTGCAACAGTACATCTGTTAGATGTCAAATGCTATCACAGTAATTAATGAGACTTAATTACACAATCTATTGCCAATCCAATGAATGCAGACTCTGCTTAAACCATTTAAAAGTGTAGACAAGATGATTTTAAAAATAAAAATTTAGTTCCACGTCAATTTTGTGCTTATTTATGCCACAAAAAATAAATCTGTGCAAGTAAGTAAATATCAAGTTTTGTAACATTAACAAAGCATTACCCAAAACATCGCTACTCATCGTGTTTCTTGAGTAGCAACACCTATAGCAAAAAAAAAATCTCTTGCCTGAGAAGAAGTTATAATTTGTTATTATGTATTTCTTAAGGTAGGTCAGTTAGATATACCCTACATTTTCTGCAGTTAAATAAGTTTCAATCTAGTTCTTTCGATAAACAGACCACTTCTGTTGGTTCTAACATTGGAACATTGACTCTAACATTGGAAATCCATTCAGTTGATATCACTTTTCAGTGACTTCACTGAAGACAGATGGAACTGATCACATGCTTAAGATTGACCACATTTCTCTCTATTTTGGTGGAAGTGACCAAAGAAAAATGCAATCCTAAATTATTTTCAAGCCATTCAAATATAAGAGGTTTTATGCAACACTCTTGTGGGAAACAATTATGTTCACAGAATAGAATGTTCTCATTAATTTTTCAGTGAAATTCCTCTTCCTGTCCAAAGTTCCTTCTAAATACTAGAATGGTTTTGTTTCCAGACTTTACACTGCTTTGCAATACATTTACTCAAGCATGGTGATCATTGGAAAGCTGAAGATAAAAAGCTGGTAAAAACAAAACATCTGAAGAATAGAAGCTGTTCACCTTTCAGATTAAAAGAAATGAGTTGCCTGGCATGAGTCACATTGAGATTTTGCAGAAAACTGGACTTTTAACAAAAGTGCTTTAGTCAATCCTTCTTAATGCATATAACAGAACGTATTTTTATGGACTTTATACACGTTAGCACCAAATGACAGATGGAAATGTGCAGCAATCTAATAAAGATTTGAGCTATGCAATTTTGCAATTCAATGAAGCACTAAATCTAAATTGCACAAGCAACAGGTTAGTGGTATGCCCTTCTATGAATTACTTGAAAGCAAAAAAGTCAACTGCACATACTGCATAGTAAATACAGTTTATTAGAAAATTAACATGAACATCAAATCCATTGTATACTCTTGTGGGTTGTTGTTGGTTTTGTTTGTTTTTGTTTAACTTTTTTTCCCCTGGGGTCAAACAGCCAAAGTGTAATTTCACTGTTAGAAGCCAACTTCTGTACCAAACCAATATATGGATAAAGCATTGAAAAAGTCCTTTTCACTTAACATAAAGTAACAAGAAAATCTGAAAATGAGATTCTATTTCCAAAGGATTTCCACACAGAAATTAACACAGAACAACAGTTCCTCAATACCCTATAACAAAAGCTACACGGAATTTCCATCACATTATTCTAAATGGCAACAGGGAATAAAAAACAGATTTCAGTTTAAAGAACATTCTGATAATGAAACTTCCATCAGGAAAATCATCACCTTTACTCTTTATCAGAACATTTCACAAGCAAGAAAAACATCAAAAGTGCAGTGAAGAGCCTCTTTACAGATTCATTGTTTTGCAAATCCATTCCGGTACTATTTCCAAGTGTTTGTCTGCCACCTTATTCATGTGATAACATTAAAAAAAAAAAAAAAAAAACAAAAACAAAACAGAAGGAAGAGTTTAGGTTGCTTCTGCTCTATTTTGTTTCTTTTTCTTTTTCATTTGCTTTTTTGCCTCTTAGAGAAATAAAATCTTACCGCAGCCAAAGCTGACTGTAAGTGCAAAGGATTTACAGTCTACACCAGCAGGTAAATAAACAGCCTGCTCAGTGGAGCAGAATTAAGTATCCATCCAGAGGACAGAAAGCCAATACTTCACAAATGGAACTGTTTGATATTGACTGCCAGAGGCATTTGCATGCAGCTCCTTAACTACTATTACTCATGAATCTCTCCAGATACAGTTTGTTATCTTGACTCTAAGCAGCTTTTTCTAGTTAGTTTCTGCATTAGCCATGACGAATGCATTTTAGAAACTCTGACAGGCAAAGATTAAGTCAATACAAGTCAAATTTAAAAAAAAAAAAACAAACAACAACAGACCTTTAGATTCTTCAAAATGGCTTGCTTAAGCTCTTCGAATTAACCAACACTCACCTACATAGGCTTCATCATCTACTGGCAGGGGTACTGACATGCAGAGGTAGGTATCAGACTGCTCAAAGACAAAAGAACAGAAATTCCCTTAAAATAGGGCATTCTTACAATGAAAAGAAAGTACCAAAATTCTTTCAAAGAATGAAAACAGGGAGAAAAACTGAAATATTAAGAAAAAAGAATTAAGAAATTATACACTTATAAATCTTGGCACTGAGATTATTTGCAATAGTTAGCAAACACCACACTCTCTGCCTGACAAAAAATTTGAAGGGGTAACAGTATTCTGATGATGTCCAAATAAGCAGCATAAATCCACGTGTGATACATTAAAATGACAAGTATTACTAAGTTTCTGATTTATTGTATTCTTGATATGCATTTGTTCAGTATTTAATAACTTCCTATATTCTAAGAATAAAGACTATCTCAGAGCTAAACATTTTTCTACCATTAGCCGTATGTCTTCTTAATCAAAGATGCACATAACTGGACAAAAAAGGGTAAAAATACAGTGCCATTGTAACAGTAATCATAGGAATACATTTATTTGTGATTCATGCATCTAATTATATGACAATCAATGAAATTATTTTTCACTGGACAATACAACAAACATCACATGCTCTTCAAAACAAAGAACATTATTAACTAAAAAATTAATAATAAAATCAATTTGCAATTTTCTTGCTTAAACATTGTAAAGGACTTGCAATTTCCTGGAGCAAATGGATGAACACTACAGATGAGATACAGAATAATAGGCAGTCCATGCAGAAAACATACAAAGAACAACTTCCGCAAGACATTGCAGCTGCCTTAGTAACCTAAAAGACTTTGAATTTAAAGTGCTCAGCTTGTCAGATTTGGAATTATTCTTGGATTTAAATAGAAAAATCAATTAAAACACAAAACCAGTAGACCCAGAGCAGTAATCACAAATACCCAGATGTGAAATCTCTACAAGTACTCTGGAACACAAAATAATGTCCCTCTAAACAAAACCGGGCAAATTTTTGTAAAGGAAAGCTCTCAGCTCTCTCCATTGCTCATCAGCAAAACAGTGAATCATTGGTACAGCATGAAATCATTCATCTTAAATGCATGTAAACTACGAAAGCAAAAAATGCAATCAGGTTTATTTTTATCTACTAGGTGGAGGCCAGTTCCCTATAACAGCACCATGTAGAAAAAAAAAAAAACTAGTTGCTTTACTGAGATATTTGTCCAAAGATTATGTAGAAAGTCAACACTGCTGTAAGGAATTAATTCATTTCCATGTTTTATTTAGATGTAACAGAGATTACTCTACAAGGTCAGGGATGTGGCTTGTGTGTTGACAGCTATGCTATTATCTAATTTAAACATTATTTTTCAGCTTTAAGGTTGTTTAAAAAAGAAAATCTTATAGTAGTGGTACTTCACTACATCCATGAACTCTAAGACCAATAAGATGTCCTCTTTCACTATTACTTGCCAAAATGGATGAAAACAAAATTCCTGCTACAAAACACTTCAAGTTAATGAAAAAATAAAATACACTGAAAATAGGCTTAAACAATTAAATGCAGCTGAGAAGGAATGACAAGTACAATGCTGATAAAAGTATGCGAGTACACAAAGCACTGATGTTCATAGATAAGAAATTTGCACTGGTGGTTTGCTTGAAGACAGAAAAGATAAACATAGGTCAGCTGATACAAATAGTTTGAATGCCTTTGTGAACTCCAGGTATATGCATTTACAGAACATACAACAGCCATTTATAAATTGAAAAGGAAATAGCTTATTTTCTATTTAGCTGGGATTCAGAACTTCATTTAGAAACTTAAACTTCAAGTTCAACAGCAGCAAAGCTGCTCCAATGGAGATGCTATAAAGAAGCCACGTGAACAGCATGTCACTGAGGCTGTTCATTCATCCTCTTTGAAGCCTTTCTACAAGCACTACCAAATTTATATCATTTGTGAAGAACATTCGATTTCTCAGATTAGCTAGTTGTTGATCTGAATAAAAGTTCCACTTTCTTGCACTACATGACATCACAGTGATCCAGTTGAAGCATAAGATTTTCTTTTCATAGAAAAACGCATGATGAAGGACAACATAGAACACACAGGTGTTACTCCAAAGATACTAATCTTATCTTCGCAATTAAACTAATTTATGCATTCTCTAGTAATTTTTTTTCATCTTTCCCACGTAAGTTACTTTAATTCAGAACTCAGGAACTAAATGCAGTCATAACAAATACAGCAGTACATTTATCACTGCATTTTAAAAACTGCACTTGTTTCCTTGCTCACTGGTTCACTTTGGCATCTTTTTTGACTAGATACAGAGTTACAAACAGGCCTTAAAACTGCATACGAACACCTAGAGGGCTAAAAAATACATGAAGAAGATAATGAGTTAGTAAGAGGCCACTACAGAAGAATATCCTCTCTAAAGAGGATAATTCACCTCCATTCCACTTGTGCCATAACACTGAATACAACATCCATTCCACTTAGTGCCAGTGTTGATTGTTGTGGCATAAAATGCTTTTGATTATCTCTTTCTGTGAACTGCAAGAAAACAAAGACTACCTTTTCTGCATTTCTTCTCACTATGCATACTGTGCATAACTTGCATAAATACGAACCAAGTTTCCTGCTGCTAGAGCAGGTCAGTGTGAAAGGAGGAAGGGATCGGAAGGAGAAAGGGAAAAAAAAAAGATGAGACAGAGAACATAAGAGCTGGACTACATATGAGGTTAGGTGTTATTTTTGCTTATCTTCTTCACAATTAGTGTCGCATGTTGCTTTCTATTGCCTTCTTCTATTTCTGTTGCCTTCCCCATTCCTCTCACAAAACTACACGGGAGAATAACTTTTGTCTTCATAAGCATTGCGAGATACAGATACACATGCATATTTCCCATCTAACAATTATCCCAGCTTTTTGTTGATGGTGTTGCTTTTTTCTTTTTGAATGGGAAGAGACTGACCCCTTCATACACGATTCCCAATATTTTAACTAATGATTCCTCATGCCGTATCACTAGAAGTTACATAATTAGAAGTGTTTGCCCTGAAGAATTAAGAGTACTTTTCACTCTCTCTGAAAGGGATGCTTAGTATTTTGTTGCAGACAAATAAAATACAATAGAGACTCTCCCTCTGTTTGTACTTACTGGAATGATGCCACTTACTCTAAATTTTATGTTCCAGGAGGCTGCTCCCCTGTAACTGAGAGCTTCATTCTGCTTTCACTATTTTTTGAAAGTGCTATCTGCAACAATGAGTCATCATCTACTGCAGCACAACATCCTACTCTTTCCAAGCATCTGCAGCCCTTTTCAAGAGACGTGTCTTTTAATGACATATATAGTTCCCTGCATTGCCTCACTAAAGAAAATGAAAATTAGACATTGTTTATCTTGCTAAATAAAACTTCATTCGAAAGTGACAGCAGAATTTTAGACTTTAAATGTGAATCTCAGAAATGCTGATGTTAAATATTAATTCTTCATTTTTACTGTCTTGGTTTGGTAAGCTATGACATAAATAAGCTATGTCAAACCACAAAGATATATATACTGATAATACTTTCTGGAATATTTCAACGTTTTAGAATGTTAAATCAAAAGTATTATTCTTGTAAAAATGCTTTCTGGCATTCTCTCTCAGCTTGTCAAAGTTGTAATAATGTTCAATTTACTGCAACTAAAATTGAACTGAGAAACTATCTGAGATTTGGTGTAAACTGCAATTTTAATCTGTCTTACCAGCACAACTGTATAAGTTTCATTTTAATAAATCTCATAATTTAAGTTTCAATAAGCTCTAGCAATTAATTGTAAGAAATCAGTATTAGAAATAAAAATTGTCAGGTGAAACTATTTTTCTATTCTTTGAAACTCTTTTTCAGATTTCTATTTCTCACTGGACATGCACACACTATTAAAGTTACCATTTTCTTCATTCACCTCACGTTAGTCATACTTCAGGCAAGACTTTATTTCTCTAGCCCATTGAAAAAAAAAAAAATAGAATAATTGGCAAAAAGAAAAACTATACTTCTCCCACCTGCTTGGGTGTCACTCCAGGCATACGAATGTCCAAAGCAAAATCTGACAGCCCAAATGAAATAACTGGCCTGGTGCTCCCAAAGCATTCAATGGAAAGAGATCTGGTAGCATCTTTATACCTTAAAAATAAACAGGGAACATAAAGATAAATATATATTTTAAAATATATTTTAAAAAGATCTGTATTAGAAATAGTAAAGAAATCTGACAACACAGGAACGATTTGCAAAATTCCCTACTTCATTAGGTCACAAAAACATGTCCATTATCAAGCAATTACTGAAGTAATTCCTGTGAAAAAATCAAATGTATTAATCTCATCTAAATCCCTGTCTTAGGTACACAGATGTACAGATAAAGAACTAATGCACTAGTACATGTCAAGTACTATTAAGCACTCAAGACAGATTGATGTTTTGTTTAGGAATAAGTATCTGCTGTATAATTCAATAAGGAGAATTTTTTTTTTTTTTACCTTCCAATAATATGACATTTATAGCAATTCCCACTGCCAGTAGAGAAGCAAAACAGTAAGTTTTAGAACTTCACGTGAATATCAAGGTCTATATTGATGGCAAATGACAAAAAAAAAAAAAATTGAAAAATGAAAAAATACAGTTGAACACCTTTTGGAGAGCTTTCTCTTGTATTAACTAGATTAAGTTTGTCTATTCAATCTTACAGTCACTTATGTTTACTCCTTCTCCAATATTTCTAAGGATTGAGCAGTTTAAGATGACTTTTTTTTTGCTGTTGGAACAGCTTTTTACACTGCCAAGCTAATAAGAGCAGGGGAAATGTATTTACTCACTGTGTAAAGACTCAAATATACCTGTGGCACTATGTAACACAATGTATTTGTAACTGTTTTTATCATCCCAATGACAGCCATCCTTAACTTCTATTTTAATGAGCTATTTGTGGGAAAAAAAAAAAAAAAAAAACCAAAAAAACCAAAAAAACCAAGAGTTTGTCCTCACTATGACAAGAGTGACACTTCAAGTAGAATGCAGAACAAGTGAGCAAAACCAAACAACCAACATGCACATTTTTATCAAGGACATGCTTTTTCATACATTTATTGTATTTCCATACAAAGGTGAGGGCAGCCCTAAAAATCATGCATTCAACACATAATGTCTTTCTGCATAACCCACCTTTTGAAGACAGAAAGTGGGCTTCTAAAACCCAAACAGATGTTTTGAAGAACAAAAATCAGTATTAGCAGGTTGTTAACGAAGCCAGCCATGTCCACCCTGCAGTTCCTGGCCTGATTAAGGGACCAGAAAAAGGGCAGCACAGCTCTATCAGCTGTGATCCTGACTATTAGGCAACAGCAGCATTAATTCATTACTTCATTCTTATGTGCTCTGCAGGCATCCTCCTGCTTCTGACAGACCATCTGTCTTGGAAGGTGATGCGCTGTAAATCGGGAAGGCGGATGATGTTATGTTGTATTTATTACTAGCTGTAAAAATCTGTTGAAGGGTTTTCCCTTGGAGACAAATGAGACTGCGCCTTTGTCCACTTAAGGAGCCAAAATGAAGTAGACTCCTGATGCTTCCTCCCCAGGTGGCACAGTTAGATTTGTGTGTTACGTATCAGTCCATGGTGCCAGAGACACCCAGTAGCATCACAGAAACCAGCATCAGTCATCTTTTAGAACCTGTGAAAATACAAGATAAAAGGATAAAAGATGACTAACACATTACAGCATCAGTTCTCCGCAAATCTCTGTTGAGAGTTTTTGAAACATTAGTAAGTGTTGTCACAAGGTACAGCCCAAGCCAGTAAAGAACTCACCTCATTTGAGTCCTCTCCCACTCATCCAGTGTCAGAAACTGATACATTCAGTATGGACATAGAAAACTCACTAAAGAATACATTTTAAAACAGCACAAAGAAAAACAAAACAAAACAAAACATTTATAAGCAAAAGGCAAAACTATATATTTCACATATACAACAGTATAGTATAATGTGTTCTGCATGCAGCTAGAAGAGCCAAACACTGGCACAGCAAAAATTGAGCTCTATGAATTTTAAGAACTATCACTAAAAGTTTCTGCATTAGTAGCAGACTGGGATACTTCATTTTTAAAACAAAAATGGAATACTATACCATTCTGTCTTAATATACCTGTTGCTTATCTACCGTAGTGCATAACTGATAGTAACAAATTGTTTTCAGAAATACAAAAGCAAGACTGCTTTACACTACTTGTATACTGTTTCTATATTCTTCTGTTAATGCTATTTCAGCTTAAGACATCACTATTCATATTGCTTTAATTAAATTTAACCTTAATGGCCCTTATATCGCTACACTGGTTGATTACACACTTCAAATTCACAAGTTCACAAGGGTTTTTTTTAAGAATGTTAGAAAATAAAAGTGTGTGTTACTGAAAATACACACTAATGTTTGGGCTTGTTTTTCAGCATTTACAACTATCTAAGAAGAAAAATCTCGAAGACGAAGAAAATCAACCCTTCAAATGTGTTAGTAATTTGTTTAAAATAAACATTAAATAAAATATAAATGAAAAAAAAAATCTATCCTTTGGATGCTGAAAACACAGTAAAAATATTGCTATAAAGATGAAGAAACAAAGGATTCTGAAACTCATGAGTTTTAATAAAAATCACTTCCCATCTCAGGGCACACTCACCAAAAAGGATTCTGTATGAAAAAAAGTGCTTCCAGACTGAAGCCCACGCTGGCAGCTTGCCTGTGTAGCAGCTACACCAGATTTACACTGAGCAATGTGCAAGAGGCACTGATTCTAAAATCTGATTAAACTAACCATTACAAACTCCAAGTATTTTCTTCACTGACAGATGACAGAAGATCCAGTCACACCAACTAAAAATAGACTCTTAGATCTGAAGTTGCCAAAAACATGCCAAAACTGTCCAAAATCATTCATGAGAACTAGTGATACAACAGTAATTCTTTTTCTTTATGTAAATTCTTAAGCCTTCAGTTCTACCATCTTCATCATCTTGACTACTAAACTATGGAAAACTGTAAAACATGTTGAGGACTGCACTATGACAGAAAGCCAAGTCTGTCTATCTATCTATCTATACAGTCTATACATATAAGTCTATATATAAGTCTATCTATACCTATATGTCTATATATATCTATATCTCTGTAAACATATAGAGCTTCACTACTTTTTACATGAAGATATGATTACGCAATTTTAACAGAGCAGCATCTTTCAAAGCCACCTGAAAGTTCTAGCACAGCTAAAGCATATTTCCATATAAGAAAAGAAAGCTAGTTATTCCAGGCAGTAAAACAAACATACACTGATGAGACTTTCACAGACATGTAAAAAAAAACTAAAAAAAAAAAAAAAAAAAAAAAAAAAACAGAAAAGAAAAAAAAAAAATCAATTACATCTCATAAGAACTGAAAACCATGTTACATTCATCTTTCTTAGAATTAGGCTGAAAATCAAATCTCCCCAGAAAAGTGAGGGTCATTTGCGCAATACTTATTGAATTTGCTGCATTTCTTTTTTTCCCAGCAAGTTAAAAATGAGTATTGATGAATTACAACCATTACGCTTTGATTCTTTTGTTCCTTTGTAGCAATTTGTGGCAATTCTCTCCGTATAGATTTTCATCAATATATTTTAGCTTCTTTCTTTCTATAGTAATTGTGAACATAAAATGGTTGGAAAACTAGTGAATGTGTCCCCAGACACATTAACCAAATTGTCAGCTATTTAGATTGTTGTTCGATTGTTGCACAAAGTTGAACAGCCAAAAAAACCTTTAAGTTTCAAATTCTATGTAACAAATATGCTAAACATTAATAAAGTAGGAAGTTCAAGGCTGGATTGGACGGGGCCCTGGGCAGCCTGGTCTAGTATTAAATGGGGAGGTTGGTGGCCCTGCATGTGGCAGGGGGGTTGGAGATTCATGATCCTTGAGGTCCCTTCAAACCCTGGCCATTCTGTGATTCTGTGATGTGCTGGGACTTCTGCAACAGTGCTCTAACTTAATTTTCTGGAATATGAAAAATTAACTTCCAATGGCTATAAATATTTTTTCCAGCTTTAGGAAAGTCTGAAGTTGTTTGTAAGTAGCACAGCTACTTGGTATGTAGATTAATAAAAAGAAGCCATGGAAAAAGATGAGCATTTACAGTCCTCCATCTGTAGCGTGAGTGCTTTGTTTGATGCATCTGGCTACATAACATATGGCTTCTGCTTGTCCTCACATTGTGATGTTGGGTTAAGATCGAGGGATGGAGATAAGCAGGAGGAAACAGCTCTGACTCCACTCTGACATAACCAGTATCAGACAAGGAGGAAAAAAGTGAGGATGAGAGATTCAGTAAGATTACATGGTTACTTTAGTTCATTAGGTCTGAATGACATATCCTGATACTACACAGTTCTGCTTCCAATTTAGAGTAAGAGTTTCCAAGGGAATGGAAAAAGTGAAGTAAAAAAGATGTAATTGATGACAAATGCTATACTGAAAGGAGAGAAAATAGAGATGGAAATTTGCTCAAGCAATACAAGCATGTTATCTTATCCACCATGTCCTATACAAACATAGTAGAAGACATAAAAAAACCACACAAATACAAAAAACTAACTGCATCTAGCAGGAAGAAATCTTACTGAACAAGCTGGGGGAAAAAAAAAAAAAGAAAAAGAAAAAGAAACAGGCACCAAAAGAGCTAGAATTCAAAACAGAATTCAAAATAGCATGCAAAATTAAGTAACAACATCTCAAAGTGATTTCATGAAAATTCAACTGCAAACCTTAAAAAATACTAATTCCTTAATAATGATCCATTCAAAAAACAAAAGAGCAAACAAAAACAAAAAAAAAAACCCTCAATGCCTTGTGATAAAGAAAGCTCTGTATTAGCCACAACCTTATAAAGCATACTATAATTTCTTCGCTTCATTTTCGTCATTTTACCCACAGTACAAACTGAACTTGACGCAAGGAGAAGCCTCATCTTCAGCTTCCACTGTCTTCAGAGGAAAAATAAAAAGAAAGCTAAGCAGTATTGATCTGAAAGTTCAAAGGCAGTAAGTTCTCAAAGCTGAATCTTGTTTCATGATTCTTATGCAATGAAACCATGGAACTGAGCCAGGACAACTTGATTACAGTCTCCAGCTACAGCATGCAAGAATCAAATTTTCAGCTATAGCAGGGAAGGCCATGTTTCATCTCACGCTAAACATGAAGCTTAAGCAATGCAAGTTTGCCACGTTTAGATCATAGTTTGAGATTAAATTTAATGTTTGCAAAAAAATAATAGACAAATATGGCAAAAAAAGTGTTATATTCAACCTACTGCACAGTCTTTTACATTTTAGAGGGGAGTATTCCTTTGTTCTCTATCATGATGTTCCGCTCACATCATCATATAGTCACTCCTTCAGAAAAAAAACAAAAAAACTTCAGAAAAAAGAAAAAACCTCAGAAGAAATGCTCACATGCACAATAAGACAAAACTAGCCCTCTTCCAGCATGTATGCCTTCTACATCATAGTTAGAAAGCAATGCTTAAGATTTCTCAGTAACAGTTGTGAAAGATGAAGCATTCTTCACAATACCAGGAAGATTAAAGGAACCTAGGATAGATGGTACCAAGGATTTTTTTGGTAAGGATTTTGGCAGCAAATAGTGAAAGTTCTCTTTCTGCACAGGTCTCCATTACTTTTACTATGCCATTGTCCATGCAGAGAAATGAATCTGTAAGAAAATGGCAGGAAGACCAGAAAAGTCTTACCCAGATAAGCTGGTTTTAGAGCTTATAATTCTTTGGAAAATAATTAACTCATGGTTACAGAAAACAGAGGGCCAATACAGCTTTTAACACCATGCATGCCAACTACATGCAGTCCTGTATTTAGTGATTCCTTTCTGAAAACATGAAATGCCCTGACTTGTCACATTTTACTAAACTTTAAAATAATACACTTACCAGCTTATAAAACTCCTAAAAAACCTTTGAAATGTTGTATTTTGTAGAACTTTTTATTTTCCTTGATGCAACTCAAGTAGTTTTCCAGGAAAACATTTATGGCATGATTATAAACCATTAAAAAAAAAAAAAAAAAAAACAACACATAACCAAGGAGCTTTCTACAGAAACTGCTGTTTCAGTCTAGACTTCATTGGACTGTTCTTCTGGTTCAACTAACGATGAACTTCCAACATATACCATACCCACTGTAATCACACACTGCCTTGTATTTTCTTTCTCTTGCACTGCACTGGTTCAGCAAGCTGATGCCCTCCTTCCCAACCCCCATCAGTATATTCATCTTCAGATCAGATCAACTGGCCAGTGAAGCTGCCGCAAATCTATCATAAAAGAAATGATGCAAACATACAGATGGCAAGGAATCTTCTGCTTTTGGAGCAACTGAACTATGCGTAATATCACTCGCATTTTAAAAATATTTGTCTTCATAAGTTATCACATATAATTGGCCTCTTGGTTTAATTCAGATTTTCCTAATTCTCATATTCTGCTACCGAAACCTTTTCAAATATGGATACCAGAGGAAAAAAAGAAATATGATTGCTCTTATTGTTGTTTCTACAAACAATTTTTTCTATAATTTGACAGCTGAGCTTAAGTAGTGTGAATACTTCTAAAATAAAAATTTGTGGCAATAAAACCTACTGTTGATTCCACTGGAAGAAGTACAGCATCTGTAATTTGAATAAAGAACTTGAATCTTCTATATATTATAGAAGTTTAATGAGATGATTTCTAAACACATTTATACTCTGCAGGCTTTCAGAATATACTGACTTTGGACAACATGTTTTCTCCCCTGTTTGATGACTAGTATTAAATGAAAATTCATGCTAAGT